TAGTAAGTAGTAATTCTTCTGTAGAAAGTCCTGTTAATCCATATATCCTGATATCGTATAGCATCCTATAAGTCTTATTAAAAATGTAAATTAAAATTTAATCTTTGTAAGGTTGAACATAAGTATCTTAACTAAATTATTTTATATTAATGTGTCCATATTTTAACTATTCTGGACTTCATGACATAGTCCATGAAAATTAACAAGAAAAATTTGTGATATCCCTTTTTGGTGGAAAGGGGTGCAATTAAGATTTTTGTTCCTGCAGATGGCAGAATAGCAGAAATGGATGCTGTACCAGTAAATGGAGCGTTGATGTCAATTTTCAAAATGTTGTCCTACCAATGACCATAACTTTTGATTTAAAAGGACTGTCTTAATCAGGCAGAAATCCAACTCTGTATTGCTTTTGTCATGCTTGACTTTTTCCCAAGGAGAGGCTATGTAAAAAATTCTGCCTACGTAGTTTAGAGTAGTTATATTTGAATCTCTCATTCTTTGGCTTCTTTTTGTCGCTGATGGCTCACATTTTAAAACCAAATGTGTGCACCGATTATTTATATACATAGAAATATGTTATGGGGTACAGCCACAACTGGTGCTTACTATCATAATTTCATTGACTTCTGTAGAGGTTCACTAACAACTGAGTTATCTGTCCCTGTGGGCTACCATCTGTGATGGAAGGTGGACTTTTTTCTGAACAGTGTAGATGTTTTTATTTGGAAATGTTAGCATCCTTGAGAAGGAGATTTCTGTAAAAGACTTCCCTAGGAACAGATGAATAATTTTTAGCTCTGAATGTAGGCCATGAAGATTTTGGAAACCAGTAAAATTGTACTTGATCAGTGCAATATAAGGGTAATGTTCATTAATTGTGAGTTACAATACACTCTGGTGTGTACACAAATGGAAAACGTCTGGTGTTGAATTCTGCTTAATTACTAAGTTGGTTTCTCAAGCCTACATCTGCCATGATAATGAAATACTTTGGAATATGCAAATAGGAAAGGTAACAACCATTGGGTATCTCTTGCATTAACACTTGTTATAACAATTATTATTTTAAATCTGCGTAGCCTTTTGTAACGAATCAGGTGACTTTCACCGCAGGCATACAAACTAGTTCATGTCTATTTTAGAACTTTTTATAAAGCAATGTTTAAGATCTTAATCTACAGTTTATAACATGAACAAGAAATGTATTAAACCCTTTGTGATTTACGTAGGCACGAATCTGACTTTATACAACCTATTTTATACAAGTCCTTATTACTACATACATGAATTATAAGTTTTTAGTTGTTTGCTTCACTGCAGTTGGTCAGCAGATAAGGCATTCCCATTCTTGGGTGCACAAATCAAGATCTGCTGAAAGGGTATGACTTAATTCAGATTTCTTTCTTTCTGTGTAAAACACCCAGTTTCAACAACACCTAAACAACATATACTGCCATATCTAAGACCTAGTTTGAGGTTATCTGTCAAGCCTTTGAATGTTGTTGGTTATGTTTTGTGGAAACTGAGGGTACTTGCATTTGATAGCGAAGACCTACACTTATCCATGTACAAGGCATCTAGGTAAAGCTTCAGGAATCCAATAACCAATTAAAGGAATTGATGATGAAAGATGTATGGATCCTCTGCACTGGGAAGACTTTCTCCCTTTCTTTTCATTAGGGATACATTCTGGACTTCACAAGTATTGGGCACCTGTGGACAACATCGTCCTTGAACTTTCAGTCATAGCACCTGTAAATGCCTCTTAGCAACTTAAACACATGGAGCTATCTAACTATATACAGGCAGCAAAAGCAATTACTTATTGTAGCCATCAAGACTGTCCTTAATGAGTCTGCACTAAATAATGGCCAACAGCCTCATAAATGAATAAACACTGTTCACTTCCATATGAGGGGTGATTTGTTGTTTTATTTTTTATTTGGCCAATGGGAAGAAATATTGCTTGTGGTTTTAGTTGTGGGTTTGTTGAGTTTTTGGGGTTTGTTTGTTTTGTTTTTTTTCATTCTTACTGGCCATCATGGTAAAATGGCAAACAAGCAGCTTGAGCTCAAGCTAGTAAATGTTTCTTGACATTTTTAAAGCTAAGCAATGGTAACATATTAAGCATGTAAAATAGGCTGTTAACTCATTATTCATCAAGTCATCTCACAGTGATATAAGAGCTACTGCACTTCAGCTCCTATGTTCCTTGTCAGTGTGGTCACTTTTTAATAATGAACACCATATAATGTCTTCCTTGCAGAGATCTGAGCTCATCATAAACACTCAGTGTTTATGCCTCAGAATCCTGCAACAATTGTAAGCCCAATATACCTGTTTTAAACATAGGGGAACTGAGGTACACACAGTTCGGTGACTTTCTTAGTCTCAAACTTGTTTTCTGTTGGGATTAGAAACCAGCATTCCTACTTCCAGATCATATACTCTGACTTACAACATCCTGCTTCCCCAAAAATACATTGAGATCATAGTCACTGGCCATATATTTGAATATAAGCCACTCTCCTGGGATTGATGGGAGGCTTCTTGCCAATTTGGAACCGAACATATTTTATAACTCCTTGGACTTAAATAATGCCTGCATTCGAATTTAATTCCAGACCTTCCTTATCTTCCCTGTAGACTAGTTATAATTTGGAACTGTATCCTTTTGTCCATGCAGATTTATATAAAATTGTTTGAGAAAGGAGAGCATCTCTGAATGTGGAGCAGTTCAAAATGCCTTGTTCAGTTCATCTTCAAAAATGTAATTTAAATTAATGTAATTTGTATTGTGTTATGTCAGTGAGAAAAAAATAAATCACAACACAACTTCTTGTGTGAGGCCATAGTTTAGAGTGGTACAGCTTTCAGCAAGTTCTATTGCCGTACAGTTTACTGATGATATTTAGGCTATGCCATGTTTCATGAATATTTAGAGAGGAAATACTCCTAAATGCTCTCCAGATTCCCATGCTGAAACCCTTTGGAGGTGGTGGGTTTTTTTTTTTTTTTTATTCCTGAACCTTGGATGTTTCCACAAAATTCAGAAATTATCAATTTTACCTATATCATTGTACTTCTAGGCTCTGAATGCTGATTACTTGAATACGTCTCTGAATGCAAGAGGAAAGGATTTTTGAAACCCTTTATTGGACCAACTACATGTTCAGGATAGCTGTAGACAAGCTATGTCTCTGCATCTTTAGTCCTTGGAGCAACTTGAAATTTATATTTAAACAGAAGAGATTTAGTAGCGAATATTTTTCCTTGCAGGGCATCTTAAAACTTTGGACTGTTTAAACTTCAGACTATTTCCATATTCCCGTACTTAAAAACAAGCTCTCCATATAAAAATAAATTAAAATAAAATCACATATTTATTCAGAAACTTTTTCTCCATCTCAAATCTTAAATGTCAGAAGTTTGTCATAACATTTAATGCTGGCAGATCCCAACAACAAATGAGGCTGCTTTAGGTAGTAAATGTTCTGCACTTTTATGAGTCTGGAGAGTATGACAGGAACTTGAATTCCATTTACTGCTGTGTCAGCAGCCCAGAGTTGTCTGACTTGTATAAAAGTTGATGATGACAATGTGAAACCACAGTCATAACTAGGGGCCTACCTAAATTATAATGAGACAAAGGGATTTTCGTGGGTCACTCATGGTGGACGGACCCCCCCTTTTAATTGGCATGGGGCCCCAGCAGCCCCACCCCTCACTGATGATTGACCGAAGGGCAAACATCATAGCATAATTAAATAACAAAGTCCATGGAAATATCAAATAAATTACTTCATTATTATAGATCTAAGTATTAAATGTAAATCTAAATTGAAATATATTGTGGATATAAATTTATACACGACATGATTTGTAGCTAATATCATCATAATTTATTATTAGTGTTCTACCACAAATTTAATAATCCTAAATAATGCTAACCTTGATAGAAACAATTCATGTTAGTTGTTAACTGCTAGCATGGAGCATCCACCAGCAGGTGCAGCTGACATCCTGCCTCTGTAGTTTGAACTCTTGTCCATACACCGAGATCACGCATTCTGCATCCTCTGAATTGGTCGTAGTGGTAAGGCAGCATCTTTGCCACGTTGTAGAGATGTGGAGACCAATCGGAAGCAGACACCCAAAATGCAGTCACAGCCAAAGTTATCTGGCAGTCTTTGACAAAGTTCATGTAAGCAGCACATGCTCTTTCCTCCAGCCAGCGATTGATTTCAGTAGCTGAGGGTCAAA